CGTTCACACACTCAGTAATCAAAACACTAACCTGGGAGCCATAGTAGCAAAGGACCTGGTGCAGACCTGTGCAGTCCCTGGGCATGCTGCCTCAGTCTCTGTGAGTTCATTCTGAACTTTGATCATGTTGATTTAGAGGGCCTTGTTTTCTTGGTGTCCTCCATCTCTTCTTCAGAGGCTCTTAACACTTCTTCTACTTTCTCTTCTGAGAGATTTCCTGAGTCCTAAGGGGAGAGACTTGATGGAGACATCCAATTTAGGGCTGAGTGTTGCAAGGTCTCTCACTCTCTGCCTAATGTCTGTCTGTGGGTTTCTGTATTTGTTCCCATCTGTTGCAGGAGGAAGTTTCACTGATGATGGCTGACCAAGGCATTGATCTATGAGTATAGCAAAATATTATTTGGAGTACAGTTTTTGGACCAGTAGTATTTGGTTTTTACCTTGGTCCCTGGTTCTTGTCACCTAATCAGTGTCTTGTATGGGTTCTGTCTCATGGAATGTGACTTAAGTCAAATCATATTAATTGGTTACTTCCACAAGCTTTGTGCTACCATTCTATCTTACAGGCAGGATTCCATTGTCGACCAAAGGGTTTCTGCCTGACTTTGGTGCTTACATTTCTCTTTTACTATACTACTGAGTAACTTACTATACCAAAGATGCCAGAACATGGAGGTGAAACCTGTCTTTAGGCACCGACTTTTGTGTGTTCAGAGAGTTGTGTAGGTGTTGTCTTTAGCAGTGTAGTCTTGTTCTCAGTTTGTGGAAAGCAACCCATTGCCTTGGTAACAGCCTGGTTGTTTGGGGATTCCCATGGCACCTCTTTGGCCAACAACTCAGTTAGATGTAACCCAATCTCACCACTTGAAGCTTCATTTGGTGACATGAGCCAAACTGTTTTAATTTTCTTAAGAACTCATTTTACAAAGTTACTTTTCAATTATTAAAAAAATAAACAAACAATAGTACGAGTATTTCAGACATTTGTAGCCACATGAACTGGTTAGTTTCATCTATAGGTATAAACAATTTTGTAAATTATTATATATCATAATATTGAATGTGTGTACTGTATAGTTGTGTATAATGTATAATTCATCGACATACTTAAATTATATAAGCTGAGTTAAAATATCCCAATCACTTTGTACACTGGGTTTTAAAATACCTTTGTGGTCAGAATTGTAGTCTAAAAATTGTGTATTTTTTTTACTTAATGACTTTTCAAACAAGGAAATTTGCTAATCTAAATCCACAATTCAGGGTTTGTGTTATATGAACATTTTCTCCGAGTTTAACAGTGTGTGTGTGTGTGTGTGTGTGTGTGTGTGTGTCTTTTTGTCTGTCTTATCTGTGTGAGTGGAAATCAGTTTGTACATTCTTTTTTCACTTATTGCTGGTAATCTGACTACTTGGTTCCGAAATTAGAATAGCAACTAAAAACATCGTATTAAACTCACTTGCACCCTCTGTTGTTTTTAGGGGGAACACTACACATAGGTTCTAAGATTGTATTGTAATTAGAGTTATTTCCTTCCCTTTTAAAATTAGTACTTACTCTACTACATTTAAAAGCAAACTAGAATCAGTAATAAAGTACATTTGTTTGAAGTTTGCATTTGGTGTTTTCTTATTCTATAGATGTGCTTTCAGCGTGTAACCGTTTAAATGTGGGACCAGCTTTCTGTTGTCTGTGATTTCTCCTGGTTACCAGTTCTGAGCCCCTCTGAAAAAAATTCCTACAGGACATAGCATATTACATGTGCAATTTTCTAGAATTATAAACTTTGTCTTTTTTTTCTTTGGTTTGTTTTGTAAACCTTTCAAAAGTCAGGTTTCCTCCAAAATAAGAATCTAAAACATCTATATAAAATTAAGAATCTATAACTGTAAGGAACAGATGTTTTCATAAACATTTGCTATAATTTTTCAACTATAATATTGAAAAACTAGAGCACTTTTTCCCTCTTCAAAACTTCATTACCTTTCTCCCATATAACAAACTCTGGAAACTTATAAATATTGTTAATGAAACAATTCAAGTCTGTATTTGGTATGGTTTTTTTTTTTTTTTTTTTTTTTTGAGTAGGCAAAACAGCATTTTGTTTCCCTGTTACATTCTTTTGCACATTGAAAGTTACAGTTACTATGGCATTTTCACTGGTGACAGTTACAAACATCTTATGATAAAACATAGCTGTTTAAAAAGAGAGAGAGAGAGAGAGAGAGAGAGAGAGAGAGAGAGAGAGCCAGGCATGGTGTTGTAGGTTTTGAAAGCCAGCAGAGGAAGGAATCTCATCTGCGTAGCCAGTTTATTGCCAGCCAAAGCTCAATAGTGAGACACTCAAAAAAACAAAACAAACAAAAGCCCCACAACTGCTTTTTGAAAGGAACCTATGTTTAATCTTATAAAGTCCATCTTAAATGAGTAAGAATTCTGTAGATTATATTTTGTATATTTAAGCAATCATAATCTTTAGTTTTAAGAGACTCTGATTCAGTATGTATCATAGTACTTACTCTGTACTGATTGTGGAGTGCCACACAGGAAGTGTCTGCATACTGTTGAAGAGCATGTGTTACAGGAAATCTCTGTTTAATGAGCTGAGATACTGTTTCTTCTATCTTTTCAGTTCATGTTGATACTATTATTTTTTAAAACAAATAAAATTTTCTATGTGTAATCTTATCTATGTATTCAAGGAATTAACATGCACACAGCTATAGTAATTTTAAACATTTAAGTTTTGGATGTTTTAAAAATAATGTGTCACCCCTTTTGAATGCTTAAATCTATCTTAAGTTTTAAACAAACAAAACAGCCAAGTGATCAGAACCGCCCTCGAAGGAAACTTTGAAAAAAGAATCACATTAAAAGGTGCAGCATGAGATCTGAGTCCATCTCTGAACAATTTGAAATGCTGGTCATACCTGCAGAGTCTTAGGTAGAACTGTATTCTTATGTGACACAATGCAAGGCTGTCATACAAATTACATTTCCGTTTTCAGTAGCCATTTGAGTGTCATAATTATGGAATCAAAATATCTTAGTATTATATACAAAAATTTAAATTAATCTCATTTTTAAACTGAATTCTTCACAACTACTATTTGATGTGATCAGGTCTACTGTGATAGTCTCCAGTAAAACCTTAAATATTTCATTATAATTCAAAATTATAAGTCATAATTGAACAAATGATTAAATTATTAAGCTTTTAAATATAAAATAATGTTGAAAGATACATTGTAGGGATTAGAAGTGAAAAATTTAATTATATACTGTTCATAATTTGCTTTGAGGAAGAAATGATATATTTAATAGGGTACTGCTTCATAAAAACTATTTTAAAATACATATTTAATGAATAAACTATCATTTCTAACTATAAGAATTTTTTACCCTGAAGTATTTATTGCTAAGCTTTTAAAATACTTTTAAAAATTTTTTTCTTTTATAGTATATAAGCTCATACTTATTGATTCAGTCTAAATCTGATTTTACAGTGTTGTTTTTTAAGTGAAAAAAAATGTTAATTGCAGAAAACATTAGTCGGTGTTTTATTGCTGTGAAGAGACACCATGACCATGAGAAAGCATGAACTGGGCCTTGCCTACTGTTTCAGAGATTCCGTACCTATAATCATGCCAGGGAACATGGTAGTGTATAGGCAGACTTGGTGCTGAAGGAGCTGAGTATTGTGTGTTGTTTTACTCTTGGCTTTTGGAGGTGTCTACCAACCAGCACCCAAAGAAATACACAGAGGCTTATTCTTAGTTACAAGTGCCTGGCCTTAGCTTATTTTTTGTTTCTGGCCTACTTTTCTTAACCTAATTATCCTATCTATCTATGGCCTTGGGGATTTTATCTTTCTTTATTCCTGTATACCTTTTTTTTTTTTCCCCTTCTTACTCTGTGTCTGGCAGGGGGACTAGGTGAACCCTCCTGTATACCTTTTTTTTTTTTCCCCTTCTTACTCTGTGTCTGGCAGGGTGACTAGGTGATTGACCCATGATATTCTACTCTCCTTAGTCTCTCATTCCTCTTTTTCCTCATTTCTATTTATTCTATCTGCCTGCCAGCCCCGCCTATCCTTGCTTCTGCCTCCCTATTGGCTGTTCAGCTCTGTATTAGACCATCAGGTATTTTGACAAAGAATCACAGCTTCACAGAGTTAAACAAATGCAGCATAAACAAAAGTCACACACCTTAAAATAATAATTCTACAACAGCTGAGAGTCCTATATCTTGCAGGAAACAGAAAATGGACTGTGACACGGGGCAGTATCTTGAGCATAGGAGAACTCAGAGCCCACCCCCACGGTGACACAGTTCCTCCAACAAGGCTACATCTCCTAATAGTGCCACTCCATTTGGGGCCATTTTCTTTCAAAATTTTGTAATATGGTTTATATTTCTGAAGTTTTTACAGTTCAAACATAACATTAACGGCTAACACCATATTTTGGGAGAGATTTTGAGATACACTAGAAGGTTCCTAAAGTGCATTCTTAACCTCCATCTCCCTTGTCTGTGTTTCTTTTACCTACCTACTTCCGAGACTGCTGGACTTTTAGTTTTGTTCTCTGCCTATATCCATCTTGGCTAAACTAGTGGTCACAAAGGGTAATCTAGTCTCTAACAAAACATTGCCTTTATTCATAAATATTAGTATGTAATTTAATGGTCTATAACTTTCCATGTTTCTGTGATTCAGAGAAAACAATTGCATCATACTTTACTTTTCCTGTTACAATTACTTTGACAGTGCTCCTACCCAAATTAGGAGTTTGGGTAGCCGTTTGTATCTTGACACATCCACATGAACTTCTACCTAAAAGGCTCAGGGTACACAAGAGATAGCAATGGGAATAATGTATGTCTGTTGTTATTAAATTTTTTAGTATGCCATTACATAGAGCTCTCACACAGTGCTTTTTAAGTGAAATACTCACTTTTGAGGTTTCTGTTATTTCAATGTCTTTATTTTTGTCTTTAGGAGATACAAGTCAAAATGGAAAAAGAACAAATTCTACCATAGACTCTGAAGGAACCTTTAATTCATATACGTAAGTGATAATTACATGCACACAAACTTTTACAAGTTAACATAGAAGACTTTTATAGAATTATGGTCTTAGAACAGCAAGAATTTATAACTGTGTCTGTATCACATGTATAAAGGACAGTGTGATATCTAGCAGTCTGCAAGATTAAGAAATAACAAAAACAGCCTTTAATCCTAGCACTCGGGGACAGAGGTAGACGAATCTCTGTGAGGTAGAGGCCAGCCTGGTCTACAGATAGAGTTCCAGGACAGGCTGCAAAGCTATACAGAAGAACCCTGTCTCTAAAAACCAAAAAAAAGAAAGAATAAGTACAGATTTTATCTTTTGTCTCGCTAATGGTTTCATCCTGACTTAGATTCTGGTTTAAGTGAATGTTTATGAATTTTGTCCTTTATTTCATGAAACCAAAGAAAAAGAAAGATTAAATATTACCAATAACATTTGAAAATTTGTATAATGAACCAAAATGTTTAAGTTCTGGTTTTCCCTTGTAGCAAAACCCCTGCAAATTCAGTACTAGTATATTGTAAGTAGCAACCAGATAAATGAAGAAGACCTTAATTGAGATACATTGTCCTGATGATTAATCAGTTAGTTCTACTAGTGTATACCAGCACTTTGGAACATGCACATGAACACTGTACACTTGGTAACTAATTTGCATACTCAGCTTTCTGTGGATGTATTCCATTTCCTTCACTGGAACTGCATTATTTATTTCTCCAGATTACAGGCATGCTGTTAGCTGTTAATTTAGGCCCTGTATATAAGAGGCACTGGTTGGAATGTGGTGAACAATATGATTATTCCATCTGTTTATGAATTCTTCAGGTGATATGATAATTTAAACATTTGACATCTGTATTTTATAGTAGTTGGCTTTGTATGAGTTGTTAGCTGGTCAGTTGTCACTGATGGTACAAAGGCTGTATTCCCATGATATTGTAGAGGTAGAGATGAGATGTTTTTCTCATCATACTTTCATTGTATACATATTCCTTTAAGTGATGCAATTCTCTAAATCCTCCTTTTAGTATAAAAGTATAATGTGAAGCTTAAAATGTGACATAGTATAAATAACAGATAAAGTCCCTATTTGGACATGTCATGACTGATCAAAATATCCACCAAAGGCAAATATAAAAGAAAAGTAATTATCTATACCTTGGCATATAACTGAGGAGTGTAATATATGTGGAATCTATGGCTTTGCTACAACATATTTAAAGTACAAGTGTAATAAAAACAAATGGAAAATATTACAAAGGAAAGTCAATTCTTTCTTTTCTATGTACATTTTGTTAATAAATTTTATAATTACATTCATATTTTAATTAATTACAGTAAAAAGATGTTGTAATTTGAAGATAGTATTGCTATATAGTTTATTCTGTCCTTGACTAGTTCAGAGATTAAAAATATCTCAGTATTGAATGATAATTTTGTTTAGAAAATGAGCTATTATTGCAATTTACTGTACAGTGAATACTTTTGTTAACTAAATATTTTTAATTAATGCCTGTCATTGTTATAATGTTAGCATATTAATTTATTGAAATTTGAAAGTGCAAGGTAAAAAGATCAAATAGTATAGTATGTGAAAGTGTGTTTTTGATAGTTGGCAGGCCAATGCTGCTATTAAATGGTATTAGAGTATTTAAGGTGTGAAATCAGGATTTCTTTTTGCCCTGTAGGCAATAGCTCTTATCATGTAATTAGCTTATTTTTTAATTTGACATTTAGGTTAAATGTAGAATTCTCTGGAACACAGCTCTAGAGTATATTTTTGTATTAAGTTTTACTGACTAAAGAAATTCTTGCAGAATCACATTGTAGTAGCAGAATGTTCAGTAAAATATACTTTTGAAAATGTGAATTCTTTTTATTGTCATTATTGCTCTTTTAAACTAGCTTGAAATAGGTTACTAGAAAAATGTATATCTTCAGGCTTCAAAACAGTGCTTTGTGTAACAGTTTTACCTTTTTGTTATCTAAACTACCTCAAAAATATTTTTGTTTTCTTTTGCTTGTATCTTGTTTTTTGTTTGTTTGTTTGTTTTTTAGATGGTGGTCTCTCTACATAGTCCTCACCACCCCCACCCTTTCCTCCTCTTCCTCTTTCCCTTTCCCCCTCCCCCACTCATTTTTGGTTCTGTCCTAGGTTTCTGGGCTATCCAGGCTCTGGTACCTGGTTTTATAGGCTGTGTTGGACATGGACTCCCTCTTTTGGCCTGGGCCTCAAGTTGGACCAGTCATTGGTTGGCCATTCCCATAGTTTCTTTGTCACTATTATCCAATCTATCTTTCAGGCAAGATAGATTCTAAGTTGAAGGTTTTGTGACTGTTTTGGTTTCCCAGTCTTCACTGGGGTCAGCCTTGTAGATTTCAGGTAGTTTGCCACAGCACTACATTTCCGCATTGCCTCCCACCCCATGACCCCCAATTCCAGTCATCTCTTCAATTATTCTCTCCCTCCACCCTCCTTAACCCCCACCTGATCCCTTCTATTCTCATCCCCATGTGCCCCCAGACCACCCACAAAATCTTTTTATTTCTCATTCCTGGGGGATCTATGTTTCTCCCCTGGAACCTCATAGTTCCTTAGTGTCTCTGGTCTGTGTGTTAGAGCATGGTTATCCTTTACTTAACAACTGACTGAAGGCTTGCACACCCCAGACAAGCACTCCAAGCTGAGCTAGGTCTCAGCACACAAGGTCTCATTATGTGACCTAAACTGACCTTGGACTTGGGCTCCCCCTCCTTCAGGCTCCCATGTAGCTAAAATTCCAGGCCTGACACAACAGGTTATAATCACCTTTTTTTGTTATTGTATTAATGTATTATTAGATTAACAAGTTTCAAGAGTTCATATTTTCCAGTGTTTGTTGATTAACAAGAATCTAAATATTGAATATTGGATGAAATAATGATTGCAAATGCATTGATGACTTATCCTATGTGGATACTTTGAAGTGAGGATAATAAAATGTTGATATTAGAAGTGTCAAATGGTAAATCCTGAATATTTTATTATTTTTATGTTCCAACAAATGTCATTGTCATCATCTTCAAACTTTTGGTATTGGTTGTATAATGGGAAAATAGCTCCTCCCTCCCTCCCTCCCTCCCTCCTTCTTGCCTTCCTTCCTATGTGTGGTCTTATTTGAGCCTGGGTCTATCTGTGTAGTCCTGGCTGTCTTGGAACTCTATGTTGACCACGCTGACCTTGAACTCTGAACGACCTGCTTCTGCCTTCTGAGTGCCAGGATTAAAGGCTTTACCACCATTCCCAATTTCAAAGGAATCCTGACTTTCAGACAAGTGTTTCTTTACCTTTGTATAACAAATTCTGCAGCTGTTAAAGGTGAGGGGAAGCTGTTGCACTATTAAATCACAGGTTAATATCTGAAACTTGAACAAGCAATTTCTGAAATATAAAAATTAGTGGACTCTAAGTGTAGCTTTGTGAGCCTAATGCTTATATACACTTTTTAAAATAGCCAAGTTTCATTTGGCATTTTTAACTTCATGTAGTTTTTCTTCATTGACTCAAATAGAACATAGTTGTAAGTAGCTCCCAACTCCAGGAAGATTATTACACAATGCCGTGTTTTAGAAGTTTTGGTTATAATTTGATTTTATATCTCCTAACTCTTAAAGTGGAAAATTTCTAAAAATTGAGGAGACATCATTGATTTTATTAACCACATTTCATACTTTTTAAAGACCAATGTTAATGTCTTCTGTCAGACATTGATCTTTATTTCTTATATAGCCATCAAAACATAATCTTGCAGGGTGTGTGAGAAGATAGTTTGTAAATTTGGAGAAGATGCCTACAGGCTCTGTACCATGGGACCACCCTGTGGAAGAGATGTTCTGTCTCCTCCTACAGGCAGTTGACCATTTTGCCAAAAGAATTAAACCTGTTGCCAGCACTCAAATTCAGACTTTATTCTGTTTAGCTGCAGTACCAGCTGCTTGTATGATTTTAATTATCTTGTTAGATGATGTAAGTGACCTACGAAATAAGTAAATGTGAACATTTTTAAACTTTATTGCTATATCTAAATATCCTTTTAAAGAACTAATATAATAGCATTTTACAAAAATGCAGAGAATATGTATTTTTGATTTAATTGAGTGTTTTCTTCAGACTTTTAAGGTATAATTCTAATAGTAAAGAACGCCATTTAACCTCATTTATCAGTATGACCGAGGTTGGGTTTATATAGCCATATACTGTAAATTGGGTTTACTAGTCAATTTGTTTAAAAAACTCAGACCAGTTACTTTGTGTTTTCTTAGAAGCTGGAAATATTGCTTAATTTTCATTCATCATCGTGTGTAAATGGCATAGTATAGAAATAAGTCCTTGTAGTTTGTTTTAAAATAATCATGTGCATTATCTTTGATTCTCATTTTCCTTTTTCTGTGTATGCAGTGGTAAAACGTCAAATTTATTTACTGTTTTCTATTTACTTCTACCTGGCCCCATTTATGAGTATATTTCCTGAAGCTATGCCATTCAGGAAAGTGTACTATTAATATTTTCTTCTGGGTTTTGGCAACTGAATAATTTCCCAGTAATAGTTTTTTTTTCTTTTCTTTCTTATTTTTCTTTTTGTTTGTTTGTTTGGTTGGTTTGGTTTGGTTTTTCTAGACAGGGTTTCTCCGTGTAACACTACCACTCCTGGAACTCTGTCTATAGGCCAGGCTGGCCTAGAACTCAGAGATCCACCTGCTTCTTCCTCCCAAGTGCTGGGAATAAAGGTGTGCATCACCACTGCCCAGTTCCCAGTAATAATTTTTAAGTGCGATATTATAGACTTTAGTAGACACACAAAATAATGAAAACCATTGATGTTCAGTTAAAGTCTTATCTACTAAACCAAAGGTTGTAATGATTTAGTTAGGAACCCTGATAAAGAATTTAAATAAATGATTTACTTGGATGAAAAGGAAACTGAAGAGTATTCTGGGGGCCTTTTAAAGGGTTT